GATTTTCAAATCAAAATCGAAATTTTTAAACTTCTCTAAAATTGTATTTAGAAAAATAAAGATAAGAACAATCTGTTTTTAGAGAAAGTATACTTATTGTATACTTCAGAATGTAAACTTATTGTATACTTCAGAATGTAAACTTAATTTCGCAAAATTGAGCGAAAATTTTATTCCTGTGAAAACTTAAACTTCAGTTCCTGTAAAATTGAAATTTGAAAAATTATTATTTCAATATTTTTCATAAAGCAGACTAATATTTTTTTCAAAAAGAAATGATAACATTAATAATGTAACCTAATACTCTTTAACCTCCGGACCAACCGCTCGCGGATATTTCAGCCAGTAAAATTGGTTTACAGGGACTGTTGGCTAATTTTCAAGTAATCCTCTTTTCATATTGAGAATTACCGATTCAAAACGGTACCCATAAAACATTTATCATCATCACTGTTTTTACTTCTTAGGTTAAAACATATATTCTCCCATGTTACTTTTTTTTCTCTGCTGCAAAATCCGCAAGATACTTTCAAGGAGAAACTGTGATTTTAAACTAACTTTCAAATAGTAAAAAAGAATAGATATATCTCCCTCATGTTTCCACGCAGATAAATGTTGTGACCGGACCATAATTCTTCTGCTGGAGAATCCCTTGAAATTGCTTCGTAAGATAGGTTTTTATCCGCCGTTTATCCGCCGTTTATCCGCCGTTTATGGGCGAAGAAAATAGAGTTTAAGCATAATATAAAACCACTTCAAAATAAAGTATAAAGAAAGCAAAATTTAAATCATAGGTGATTTCGATCATTTCTATTCTTTTTTGAAGAGTATTGAGAAGAAGAAAAATGAAACCCAGACAAAATTGATTTTCCCAATACTTGGACATAACAGGAGCTACGAGGTCACAAAGTCATGTTTTATAAATGGACTTTCTCACTACTGAGTTTTAGTCAAGATTAAGTTTGATATTCAAAGCAAAAGAAAAATCATACTAATTTGCATTACTAATTTATTATTCGCCTCATATTCTAATTTTCTAATCACCATATCTTTGCAAACAGATGATGCAAAGCTTCACTATATCAAACTTTGACAATTTGATGTAGCAAAATTTATGGTTTAAAATAACAAAAGTCCAATGACCGGGCCGTAACTGGAGTGGGGGGGGTGTATCATGCCGTCCCCCCTGAAAGACCATATTTTAGATAAAAAAACTTTAGTTTCGGGGCTGCAAAGGTCTGCGAGATTAGTTTATAAAATATGAGTTTGAAAATTACATTTTTTTGGCAAATTATCAATATTGTAAATAATAAATTAGAATCGATCTCTTGTTTGCGACGAGAGTCCGACCAACCAATCCTTTCATTTAAATTTTCTTTTACAAATTATACTGTAACTGTTTTGTAAATCTTGTGATAATGGAGTTAAGTATCTTTCAGAAAGAATTTCTTCTCAAAAGTTGGATTATACAAATGAATTAAGTAATCTTTTCTTTCATTCATTAATTAGATACTCTAACATAATGAGGGATCAAGTAGATAGTAGATAGTCGATAGTAGATAGTATATAGTAGATANAAGAAAGTTGAAGGGTTTAAAGTGTTAAAAAAGAATTTAAGTATTATGAAAAACAAAAATCTAATGATTTACAGAATTGGCTTCGCAATTTTAGATTATCTTTAAACAAATTTTAAAACTTTAACAAAACGTCGGAGACGGAAATATCATTATTTTTCTATCTAAGATTATAGAATATCAAGATGAAAACTTTCTTTAAAAGAATTGTAGATTTCTATAGAAATGTAGATAGTTCAGGTTTGTTTGAAAAATCATTATAATACTTTCACTATATAAAGTACCTGGTACACTCTGCATTTCGAAATCAGAAGATTGATTGTATTTAAAATAAAAATCGTTTATATTCAATATAAAAATCGTTTGTATTCAACATAAAAATCGTTTATATTCAACATAAAAATCTTTTATATTCAACATAAAAATCGCTTATATTCAACATAAAAATCGTTTATATTCAACATAAAAATCGCTTATATTCAACATAAAAATCGCTTATATTCAAAATAGAAATCGTTTATATTCAACATAAAAATCGCTTATATTCAACATAAAAATCGCTTATATTCAACATAAAAATCGCTTAAATATTCAACATAAAAATCGCTTATATTCAATTCTGCGTACAGGGTTACCCATAAAGGATGAACCTTTCTAGACGACTTTTCATTTTCATTTTAACTAATTTAATTTTTTTTAAATCATTTTATAAATGATTTAAAATCCAAATTCAACTTTCAACAATTTTTACATTTTAAGAGTTTTAGGTCTTCCTTCGTGGATGACATCAAGAATTGATTAAAATCTGACAGCTGGTAGATATCTCACACAAGTCATGGAAAATATCTCTGATTGTTACCATATAAAGATGGTTTTGAAATAAAGGAAATCTAAAGCTTGAAAACTGATGTGAGTAAATCTACAGAGTATAGGAAAAAAGGTATTTACAAGTAAAAAATGAAAAAATAAATTGATACTAACAAATCATGGAAAGCTAGAGCTCTCTGACGGACTCTACGCTTTTCATTCGCCTCGTACGACGAGTTAATCTTCCGTCTTCGGACTCTGAATCCATTTCAATATTAGCCCAGGCGGAACCTATTTTCTCCTTCTAAGCAATGGTTCTATTGACTTGAATTCAAACTAGGATCTGGGGCAACGGTGGCTTTGGTTTTCCACACGATCAAACATGCGTTCAAAGCATGTTTTTTTCTCCAAGTTGGCGACTTATCTTCCACCCCACTTTATTTCTGACCTATAGCTATATACAAAAGAGCTAATATGTTGTCCTGTTTATAAGCCGGACTACTTGCAATCCGAGCTTAGCTCCAGGTCCGTATGAGAGGGGTTGCATCAATAGAACTATCCACTCTGACTTTAGCTCCGGGTTCGCACGAGAACTGAAGGGGTTACATTAATGGAACTATCCATATTCCGAGCTATTGAGCTCACACTGGCTACATCTTAGCTCCGGGACCGTATGAGGACTGAAGGGATTACACATAGATATACAAAAATTACATTGTAATAAATAATGACTTGCTTTTATTTCAAGAAAAAATTGGAGAGAAATAAAAAACCATCCATAAAAATTTTTTTGAAAAAATTATTTAATTAGCAATTCTTCTGTTTTATTAAAAAAAATAAAAGTGGGGGTGGGGGGGCATACATCAGATTTTTTATGAATAATCTTTTATATTTTTTATTTACAATCATTCTATCCAACTAAAAATTAAAATTTTTAGTCAGCGACCAACTTTATTTATTTTTTAACATTTTTTACATTTTAAATCTAAAAAAAAATAATGTTCTTTATAAAATACTGCACATATACCAATNCAAGATAAAGAAGTACAACCCATAGATTAACAACAAGATTTAAATTAAATTTGAATTAAAAGAAAAACAGAGAGCATGCGCCTATACTCCTTTGGGCTTCTGTCCCAGGGTTTTTGTGAACGAAAAACCCCTAGATCTTGAAAGACTGGATCTAGTGTTCTTTCTGTATTGTTATTAAACAATGTCCTCAATGTTCTCAATAAATACAAAATATAAAAGTACAACCTATCCCATTATTTGATGTTCAGCTAAGTTTGTTTTATATTTTTCAAGAAGACCCAGGTAGAAAACAAAGTTTGTTCAACTTGAGAAACTTTTTAACTAATAAAGAAAAAACGCATATTCCAGAATTTTAATCAAATTATTTTTCAAATTTTAATAAACATTTCATAATGGAAATCTTATTTTATGTTTTTCTTGAACTCAGAGAATTCACTTTTTTTCTTCTATTTTGTTTACCTTAGGCTACAGTGGTAAGCGATTATACCAATACAATAAAGACGACTTTCCATTTCCATTAAGTTAAATATCAATTTGACAGCATGGATACACATAATCATGAAAGTCAAGAGAAACTGTCAATTTAAAAAGCTTCTCTTTGATTAATAGTAAACATGTAATTCGAAAAAAGTTTGTTTACAATCAAAACTATAATTAAAAAGCCGTCTTTATTGTATTGATAAAATCGCTTACCACTGTATTCTTTTTAAATCAATAAAAGAACTATAGATTCCAGGTGACCCTTCATTTGAAAACTGCAAAACCTATTCACAACGATACCGTTATATGAACAAAGAGATTGAGTTATTCTTGTTTTTCTATTTGATTTATGTAGCATAGACAAAAAATTAAATTTATGATATTTGTATTTTAAAATGCAGAAAAAAATTATATACTTTTTGATACTCGTACATGTATCGTCCATGTATCATACATGTATTGTACATGTATCGTCCATGTATCGTACATGAATCGTACATGTATTGTACATGTATCGTACATGTATCGTACATGTATCGTACATGAATCGTACATGTATTGTACATGAATCGTAGATGTATCGTACATGTATAGTGCATGTATCGTACATGTATCGTACATGTATAGTACTTGTATCGTACATGAATCGTAGATGTATTGTACGTGTATCGTACATGCATTGTACGTGTATCGTACATGTATCGTACATGTATTGTACGTGTATCGTACATGTATCGCTTTGAATTGAAGCTCGTAAAACTAAAGTAAATTGTACTTTAATCATAATTATTGAAGTTTTCTTGATATGTGTATATGAAACCGAATAAAGGATTTAATTCAGTCCAGCAAACTGAATTTTTCGACTCCCTAGATCCTTACAAACGGATATTTTATATTTTAAACTTTGATTATTTGATATAGTCTGTAATATCTAAGGTCTATGACATCGGGTTGCAAAGATATTGAGATTAGAAAATCTGAGTTTATGACAAAGAATTAATTCCTTTGCTTTTGTATATAAAATCAGAAATAGGTAACGAGGTCACAAAGCAGGGCCAGTAACGTCACATAAATTATTTTAACAGTCCCTTTAAATTGATAAATTTTAGGAAAAGTATGCAACACAGCTGCTCTGGTAAGTAGAAACTTATTTTTTCAAATTAAAATTTTTACAAAATTCTTTAATTTAGATGATATCAGCTGCAAGTATTTGGCCATTTTTTGTTTTTCTAAATCTAGTAAAAACTTAATTAAAACTAAATTGATTTTATCAAACGTATTCAAACTGAGCTGCAGGGGGGTTTAAAAACAAAAAAGAAATATTAAAAAGTAAAATGTTTGAAGAAATAATTATAGCTTTGGAGGAAACATTTATGTACTATTTTTGAGATGACTCTCATGTATTGATATGGTTTAATTAAAAACTCAGTTAAGATGATTTTAGAAATTTTCACATTTTTTGTAGAAATATTTATTTAAAGAATTGTAATTTTAAATAACACTCCGTGCAAAGATGGTAATGTCCGATTTATAACGGTGCTCTTGAAAGTTTTGTCCGATCAATCCATGTTTTTTTTATTTATTTAAACTTTTTATTTTCATTTGTGGTTTTTCTTCAAAAGTTACTGGCACATATCTTGCTGATAAGAAAACTGGAGGAATTCACAAAAATAAAAACTTTTCCAGTCAGAAAACAATCTTTTTATTAAGATAAAGGTTTCAAAAATACCGTTGTAAATCGAGCACAGCCATCTTTACATGGAGGGTCACTTGAAATTACGCTTACAGTCACTTTAATCCTGAAGAAGGTGGGGGGGAAGGGGAAAAGTCTTTATAGTATAAAAAACATGCCTCACTCTTGTATGCTGAATATATTAGCGCCTGATCCAATCAGGTTTATGTCATGTGTTTGGTGTCTATTCTGAACCAATAGAAATTGCATGGCACTAACATAAATCTATCTATCTATCTCATTATCCAATCAGAGATAAATCCTTATAACGGCGTTATACACTAAATGGAAATATTTTCTCCTACTGAAACTATAGTGGTCTGTGGGAAAGTTCTTCTGAGAATAGAATAATTGTTAAATCATGTTTTCATTCATAAAAATAATTTTCAGTTCTGACAATGGCAGATGAAGTAGAAATATTCCAGGACTACATANGGGAGGAAGAACTTAAAGAGTAATGTATGTATACGTTACTCTTGAGATTTGTTTAAACACTGAGGAAAGTAAATAAACCTTTCAAGCTTGTAAAATGATATTACATAAATTGTTACATCGTGTCAAATTTTGCTGTGAATATTTAAATCATAAATTTTACATATTTGTTGGCTTTTTGAGTCCTTCAGGCCTCTTTCATAGGAACAAGTTTAGGTTTAATTTGTTTTCATTGAACTCAGCACTAAAACAATTTTGCTGAATTTTCTGGATTTATTTTTTCAATTTCAATAATTTTAATGCAAAAAGGTCCAATAACAGTTCCTCACTTCTGTATGCCGACTGCTAAGTGCATTAGAGCCTGATCCAATCAGGGTTCAGTCATGAAACTGAAACTATGGTGTTCCTGGGGTCGTCGGGTCTGCTTTTTGACGCTTATTGGAAACCGAAAGCAAACAGACAGCCTAGCCTCACCACTATAGTTTACGTAGAAGTAAATATTTCCATTAACTGATAGCGCCGATTGAAGAATTAATTACTCTAATTGGATGATGAGATAGATAGAAAGATAGATGTTACCGCCATACCATTTCTTTTGGTTCAGAATAGACAACAAACACATGACTGAACCCTGATTGGATCAAGCGCTAATGGACTTGGCATACAGGAGTGACAAGACAAATAAAGAATTAGAAACTATGCTTTTTTCTTTAGGCAGATTCCAAATGGAAACGGTTGCAGGCCAAAACTTCAGGTGTTCATGCATTCAACAGGTAGATAGATAAATAGATAGATAGATAGATAGATAGATAGATAGATAGATAGATAGACAGAGAGACAGACAGACAGACAGACAGATATATAGATAGATTGATAGATAGATAGATAGATAGACAGATAGATATATAGATAGGTAGATAGGTAGATAGATAGATTAGATAAATAGATAGACAGACAGACAGACAGATAGGTAGATATATAAACGGATAGATAGGTAGATAGATAGATAGATAAAAATAAATAGATTTGAGATACATAGATAGTTAGATAGAAAAATCAAATGCTTTTATAAAGTCTAAAAACGACCTTTTTTATTTTAATCAATCAAACTTTGAAAACAAAGCTATCACTTTCGATAATGATTTAGAAAAAGTTGCAAGTTCAGAATATATAAAAGTCCTTATTTGTGAAGCAGGTGTCATGAAATTTTCAATACTATAAACACCAGGGATGTTTTCGAAAATAACTGTCCGACTGAAATAATAAATAAACGCTTATAGTAATCATAAAACATATTGCCTAGTGGTTTGTTCTTATCTATGTTTGCATTCGAAGTAATAACTTGACTAATCCTTTTTCGATATACAAGATTATGAAAGAAAATAGATGGTTTAGAGTTAAGCTAGTTACATACTATTATTAATAATAATTTTGAATACACTCATAGCCGTAATTTCTCTATGTAATGGTAAAGGTAGCTAGTTTTGAGGTTTATGTAAACTTAATGATTATCTTAAATTTCTGCTCTTAGGGACTGTAAGCGTACTCTCATGTCACCCTCAATTGATAGAGTGGAATGTTATATTTATACACTTAAAAGCTTTATTTGATCAAGTATCACCCCTTTATACCGAGTGCATTAGCGCCTGGTACAATCAGGGTTCAGTTATGTGTTTGGTGTCTCTTCTGAACAAACAGAAATAGTTTGGCGTTAAAATCTATCTTTCTATCATAGCTCATTATCCAATAGGAGATATGAATCCTTCAATCGGCGCTATCAGTAAATGGAAATATTTACTTCTACTGAAACTACAGTGGCATAAGTTAAATATCCATGTTTTGGTTTTAGAAAATATTTATTTTCAGCGGGGGTTACCCTTGCACTATAGTGACGATGGAGAAATTTTCAGAATTAAAACTTACAGCGTTTTCGCTTACTAAATAATTTAACAGTTTTAGAAATAACATTTGTTTGTAAAATATAGAAAGTATGAATAGATAGATAGATAGATAGATAGATAGAACGTATGAATAGATAGATAGATAGATAGATAGAACGTATGAATAGATAGATAGATAGAATAAAGCATTTTGATGCCACGGACTTTTTGTTTACAATTTTACTTTTTATTGTGTGGTGGAAGCTCTAAAGTTGCAGAGCTGACTCAGGTTTAAAAAAGTGTGAATCATGTTCTTTAATTGTTGATAATTAAACCCTATTGAAGATAAAAGAAAATTGTAAATGAATTTATAAAATAAAGAAGTAATTTGTAAAATTCGATTCAATTTTAACGTGAGACAAAGGATGAGACTGTAAAGACGACCTGAAACTTTTCAATTTGACGATTCCGAGGTCAAATTAATCGTCTGGCTTGAATTTAATCTTTTTGTGGCTTCATCAATGATTATAGGCAAATAAAGAAACAAGTTAATTATAGTTACAGGAAATCATTAATATAAGGAAAGAATAGATATAAATTCTGTCCAAACGTCTCTAATTAGTCTCAACCCTTGTATATAACCCTGTTACGTATTTGTAATTACAATTTTAAAATTCCTTTTTAGATTGTTTTAGCTTAAATCTTCTTTAAAGATGATTTCGCTTATAGTGAGGCATCCCATATTCACAACAGTACTCTTTAACCCTAAACTAATCAATAATATGGAATATAATCTCGTCTTCATATCTTTAACAGGGTTTAATTCGGACTATTTCCTTCGTTAATTCTGAAGCTGAATTGTGCAAAATGAAAATCAGACGTGAATCAGACGTGCCACTCTATAAAATTACATTAAGCGTTAAGGAAGGACACTAACTGTTATACCTATTCATAGATTAATAACAATACAGATAGAATAGAACACTAGATGTTGGTTTTAAGATTTAGGGTTTTTTTTGTTCACAATAACTCTGAGTCAGAAGCCCAAAGGAGTTACGCACATGCTCTCTCTCTGTCTTTTAATTCAATGCGTCATGCGAGTAACTTCTTTGGGCTTCTGCCTCAGAGTTATTGTAAAAAGACGGCATATCTGTATTGTTATTTATCTATCTACCTATCTACAATGTTTAACCAAAAAAATGAAATATAAGACGTAATTGAGATTTTTTTGTTTCGCATACTCCTTTATACCTAGCCCATTAGCGCCTGATCCAATCAGGGTTCAGTCATGTGTTTGTTGTCTATTCTGAACCAATAGAAATAGTATGGCGGTAATATCTATCTTTCTATCTTTCTCGTTATCCAATTAGAGTTATGAATCCTTATATCATCGCTATCAGTAAATGGAAATATTTACTCCTACTGAAACTATAGTGCGCAGTTCTCCCTTTTCAACTTTTAAATGGGGGAAGGGGATGGTAAACAAGACTCAGACAAAATATATATTCATTTATTTTTTTTTAGATCCGAAGAACCAGGAAAGGTTAGAAGAGCTAAGATTGCGTACACAGCTCTTGTACTATTCTTACTCTTAGCTTGGTCCGCTGTACTCATAGGTATGTACAGAACAGTACATACTGCAGTAAGTACACGTTTACTGCAGTACGTATACAGTTGGGTATGATTCGTTTGAAAATCTCCAACAAAAATATGGGGTCTCACAGGAAAATCTAGGGGGTCTCTCATAAAATTCTGGGGGTCTCCTATGAAAATCTAGGGGTTTCCAATGAAAATTTAGGAAGTCTACGAAAAATCTGGGGTCTCCAATGAATTTATTGGGGTCTTCAATGAAAATGTGGGGGTCTGGAACGAAAATCAGGGGTCTACTATGAAAAGCTGGGGGTACCCAATAATAATCTGGGGGTCTCCAATGACAAATTTAGGGTCTAAAAAGAAAATATGGGGTATCCAGACAGAAACCGTAATTTTTCTATGTAAATTGTATTTCACAAAATTTTCTGTTGAATTTCGTACATTTTCAAAAATAACAAAAATCCAAATTTATTTCTTGGAAAATTTGGTATTTTTAACAATCCATTAACCTTCCCCGGGTCATGTGTTGTAACAAAAAAAAATTGGCTCGATCAGTTCAGCCGTTTTGACATTTATTAGATAAAAAAAACAACAAATTATAGAAAAGAATATTCTAAAAGATCCAATATAAAAGAGACAATAATGGAAAACGATATTATCTTCTTATCCAATAATGATTATGTGTTACCGAAGTAGTCCTTATAAACCACTCTTATGGATGAAACAATATCAACATTTAATAATCATTGTTTTTCTTTATTTATAATTTAATCGTTTAAATTATTATTTTATCGTTTGACTATCTTTTAATCATTTATTTATCTTTTAATCATTTATTTATCTTTCAATTCTTTAATTATCTTTTAATCCTTTTAATATATTTTAATTCTGTAATTATGTATTAATCTTTTTATTAGCTTTTAATCCTTTAATTATCTTATGATTGCAAAGAACACATATTCTCTTTTAACCTTTTAACTATCATTTAATTGTTCAATTATTATTGGACTGTCTATTTATAATTTAATTGTTAATGTTTAACTATTTATTTAATCGTTTAATTATTAATTTATCGTTTAATCGTTAAATTATTATTTATAATTTAATTGTATCATTATTATAAAAATCGTTTGTTAATAATTTAATTGATTAACTATGATTTAATCTAAAAATTATTAAAGTTCTGTTTATTTTGATAAAAAACTAAAACTTTTAGTTTTAATTCACAGTTTGATTAATGTCTCATCATTGTTTTATGTATTCTGAAAAATACTGATTAAGGATCTGTGTTTGCTCTCAGAGAAAATATCCATGATTGCGAGCGCTGTTCAAACCCTCAGCTTTGCAGGTGAGATCCAACGGTTTTTAACTTTACACACCAGGGATAGTGCATTTTTTTAAATTTTTCAATAAAATTAAAAATTGCCACATTTAATTGCCTTAATGCCAATATTTTTAGAAGTACCACACCTGCTTGGGGAGGTGCAGCTGTGGAGGAATGCTCTGCTTTAGGGATGATGCAATTATTTTAACTTTAATAATTTATTTTGATTAAATTTTACAAGATTTTATGATGATGCAATTATAATATTTATATTTCTTACTTTTATTTTGCAAAACCAAATCAATCGTACTTAAGTAAAAAACAGTGTGATCTAGTTTTAGTTCTTCGGAGCAGGATCTTTTAAAATATTTAAGATAAAAAATTACATCTATATAAACTGTACAGGTTATCTGTAGCGAGAGACTCTTTCAGAACAAGATCTATTTGTACTATGTACATAAATTTTAAAAATCAAAATTCTCGTTTTTTTAGATATGAAAGATAAATTTTATCTTTATTTAATAGATGTTTGAATTAAAATTTTCAATAAACATATCAATTGTGAAAAAATAAATCATTATGGATCCAAAATCATTTTAAAAATCATTTTAATTAATTTTTGATTATTTAGNCCGCATATTTTTCTAATTTTAGATGTTGTAAAGTCTGAAATTGAACCTTTATAGCTCCGTGAATGGATATTTTGAAAGATGTTAAGGGAATCCAATAAAATACTCTCAATCTTGTTTATTTTCGAGAAATTCTTTACAAACTTTATATTTATAAATAAATAGTTTGAAATTTTATCAAAAATCGATAAAATACTTTTTTTAACAAAAGATGACTTCTCAGAAAAAAAGTTTATCAATACATATTTATGAAAAAAATTTAAAATTTTACTTTTTATTTTTACACCCTCGACAATCTACACTTCTGATATTAAAAATCTGAACAAACAAATCTGATATTGAAACAGAGAAAATAAAATGAAACAAAAGTTAGATTTTTAGATATTGATGCAATTTTTCGCGGAATTGTCTATATTTTTTTTTTTATAAAATTCCGCATCGTTTTCGCTTCCATTCGCAAAATTCTCGTTCGCTGGAAACCCTATTCCCGAGTACGCCCCAGAATGTATATTAATGGATTCTAAGGTGTTAAAGGGAGTGACCGGCTATGTAAGGTAGTTGAACGGAGTATGCAGTGTTGTGGAAAACTTCTTTCGGATTCATTTGAGACATATAATTAAAAGAAACTAATTCTAAATACGTATCCACCCCCAAAGAGGAGTTTAGAACATTGAATTTGCGCTCAAACTCACAATATACAGATCTTTAAAAAGTTTTATATGTCTAATATGAATCCGAAAGAAGTTTTCCACAACAAGGCATACTCAGTTCAACTACCTTACATAGCCGGTCACTCCCTTTAAAGATAATCTGAGAGTGCGAGTATAACCATTGCGGGGGAGAATCTAAGATAATATATATATAAATAGAAACGTTTAATTTTGAGGTCTTGGGAAAAAAGCACCATCTCTGTCGTACGCATGGCACATTATCCTTTAGACTGTTGCTGCTTTATCACTTTGAATTTATGCGTGATATCGCCAAATGTGTACTATTAGTATCAAAAATGTACATGGTGTTTCAATACAAATGAGAATTCAGTTACGAATTCTATATCGTCTTTTTAAATAATTCTTTGATTTAGTATAGTAATACCAACTGAAAAAGCTGTAATCTGTAAGAGTTTCGTCTGCCATGTTCACATTTTGTTTGTTTATGTTTTGACTGCATTCGGTTGTACTTAGTAAAACAAGAAAATTGCAGTATATACAAACTGAGTAAACTTGTCCGTCTTCACTGTTCATCTTGTGGAGACAAACATCTTAGTCTTTTACCCTTTTCATAAAATAAACTTTAGCAGACATAATAATATTATGGCTTTTTGGGTGTCACTGTATATATATTATCTTTGGGGAGACTCTACACAACTTTACTATAACATAATTATTTTCTTTTTATTAGATACTGTATAACTCAGTGACCCCCCCCCCTCCCTCCAAAGGAAGTAGAAAAGTATTTTTAAGCTTTAGGGGTGGGTGGGGGGAATTAAAAAGTGGCATTATTATAGGGCTTCCGAAACCACAAAAAAAAATTGCGCACAATTGCGGCGTGTGCATACTTTAAAAAGAAAAACATCGAAAAATTTCGCCGATCTCTTTCAAAATTAGACAAATTTCATGGAGTAAAACTTTTAAATTTTGACCGACCAAAAACCTTATAATGGTGGCAGCTGTAGGTTTCTTAAAAATATGCTGAGCCCAATTGGTTTAGCCATTTTGACGTTTATAGGAAATATTTAAGAACAATCACCCACCCATTATATATTAATTAAAGCAAATCTATTCATGAATAGTCAACAGTGGTTTGTATTCACAAAAAAGTTTAAAAACAGCTCATTTACATTACAAAGAAGACTCTAAAGCTCAGACAAGAGCCTGCATCCCGAAACTGTAAAAGTTTTCAAATTAGACTCACAAGATGTCTCCAGATAGTGTTACAAACTTGAGAGTGTATTAGACCAATGAATCAATTTGGGATTAGAGATTATACCTAGGAGAAAGTTGGAGAAAATGCACTGTTAATAACACGAACATTTTGTACAGAATATTACACATTTTGTTCATAATATTGAACATTTTTTTCATGATATTGAACTTATTGTTCATAATATTGAACTTATTGTTCATAATATTGAAAATTTTTTCATAATATTGAACAAACGAAAACAATTCAAATCACGAAAGCAGTGCTTAGAAATAGAAGGCATTTAATTATGATGCGGTTCCGGAACCTTGATACGCATTGAAAAAAATCCGGTTCCGGATTCGGATCCAGGTCATGAACATTTACTGATTTTTTTAATAGAATAAGAATTTTATCAAAGAATTTTCCTTCTTTTTTTTCGTCAGAAATGAGAAAATTTTTGATAATATCTTTTTTCAGTATTAAAGTTTTAGGTTTCGAAAGCAAAAGATTTTTTTTTGAAGTTTTCGCCGGATATTTCACCCCTTGGATCCGGATATTTCACCCCTTGGATCCGGATATTTCACCCCTTGGATCCGGATATTTCACCCCTCGGATCCGGATATTTCACCCCTTGGATCCGGACCCGTGGATTTGCAAATTTTTGCGGATCTAGATTTCGGAAGCCAAAATGTTGCGGATCCAACGGATCCGGATCCTAAGCACTGAACAAAATGTTTCTATGAAATTAAGTTGAATAATTTATCACAAAATTCTTTCTTTAGACAAATGAATGAGAAATGGAATAATACCTCCCTTAGATAATGGAACGTGAAGTCGATTGATTAGAAAATAGATCTGTCATCTTACTTTTGATTCCATTTTCTATTCTTTTCCTTTTTTGTATTGCACTTCCCCCCCCCCCCCCTATTCCCAATACACAAATACAATAAAATATAAACTTTGTTTACACAACCCAGACAAAACAGAGTTTCTAAATAATTATTCCATTAATCCAAAAATAGACATTATTTCTAATCCTTGATCCTTAGAAACCATTCAGAGGTAACAACTTTAATATTGTTAATCCCGGGATGAAGCGGCATCTTGTCTAGCAGAATATTTATTCCTCTTGGATATCCCAGGTGACCGCACATTGTAAGGTTGTTTGTTAATGTCAGATACTTTGCATGCGGCGCGCGCTCCAATGTACGGAAAATGTCGTCTTTGTAGCAATAGACTCAAAATCCTCATATGACATAACTGCTTATTGGCAGAAGGTGAAGTGACAATGTTGTTGATGAGAGACTGGAAGGATTATCTCCGCTTTTACAGCTAAAAAAGATTTTGAGTGTCCATTGCTATGAAGACGACATTTTCGGTACATTGAAGTGCATCCAGAGTATCTAACATTCATAAACAACCTTGCTGTAGGGATAACTAAAGATTGAGGGATCAAGCACCTATCATCAAATTTTAAATTATGTCACTATGGATATAAAGACCTGAGCTTAAAACCTTACAATTTTAAGTATCGCAGATTCAACCAATCTGAGGGGCGTTTGGAGAAACCCAAACGGCCAATCAGAAGCCGAGATATTTTTTTCCTTTTGGCGCACGTTCAATGAGAACTCTCATTGGTCGGAACAAAGAAGTGATATCCAAAAAGAGCGGATTGAGCAGCAATCAGAAGTGTTCAAAGTGGATATTCAGATCAAGCGATAGAGATTAAATGTGTCCAATTCTAAAGTTTTCAGCTCAGGCGCTGTGACCGCCATTTTACACAAAAATGTTGCCCTCTCAGTTCAAACTTCTCATGCATTTCCCATTTCCAAACCCATTAACAGTTTCCAAGATTTCAGTTGGAATCTTAACTCAAAGTTTTCGACTAATCAGTCAATGTACACTTAAAGGGACTGTTAATGTACTTTCAAGTGGCCCTCCAAGTAAAGCAGCAATGCCCGATACATCATATCGGTACCCTCAAATCCTTTATCTGATCAATAATATAACAGACATTATATATCGTTTTTCTAGGTTTAAAAGTGCTTAATTCTGATGATTGTTTTTATGTTTTCCACAACTAAAGAAATGCAGAAGTCCTTTTTTAAGAGAAATCACAATTGAAATGATTTTTAAAATTGTAAATATTGTATCTAAATCATGCTAGATCCGACAAAGCTTTTAAGGAAACCGTTCTAAATCTGCCATCTTTGCATGGAAGGCCGAACTTGAAATTACGCTTTATGTGAAAGTAAAAATAATTTATGAGTTTGGTTTCACAATATAACTTTATTTCCATCAGAGCTGGGATTTAATATTTCTTGACCAGGCACAAATTTAATGTGACGGGAGTAGAACTTTTAAGTGGCGAGTGGGTTTTGTTAAAACCCCGTCTATGTTCTACTTACATTGCAAACACGAATAATATCAAATATTAGTTAAATGGCGTTCATGTCTCTGTAGTTTAAGAACTATGGTCAGTTTGTTTGTAAACAGCAATATAATCAATCTCCATGGAACCGGATCCAGACTGTTTCTCTGTCTCGTAAACACCACCGTACGCCTAGAAACAGCAATATAATAAAACCGGTTCAAGACCGTTTCCTGTTTCGTAAACACCACCGTACGCCTAGAAACAGCAATATAATAAAACCGGTTCAAGACCGTTTCCTGTTTCGTAAACACCACTGTACGCCTGGAAACAATAGTCTTAAATTCATAAACTAAATGGTTTAGCAAAGGAAGGAACAAGTACATGTAAGATAAGAGACTAAATAAGCTCTTTAAAGGCTCATACTTTATGGGTAACCCTGTATTTTACCATAAACAGGTTTAGTATTAGACGGCATACACAGAAACTAGAGTCAAGTCTTTTCCCGTACGTTCATGTTTCCCTGCAGAGCAGTTGTAACTTTTTATTTGAGCTTTCATAGATTTATATTTTTAAAAACATCCAATTCAATGTCATAACAAGTCACGAGTCTTTAGTAAAAAGTCTTCTCTGTTGTGGGTCACCTTACCCTGCAGCATTGAAGTCTTATATTGTTAAAGTAAAATATGAGAAACATTGTGAAAAATAAGATTTTAAGTTTGTTCTCTTTTTTAATGATAAATGATTTCCTGAAAATTGAAAAATCATAAAATTTTCCCTCATGTTGAATTGACTGACAACTTTTGAGAAAAGGATTATCTCTTTTTCTTTTTATCTTGAAATTCTTTTTTAAAATGATATTTGAATAAGCTATATACAGCTTTTTTCGCAGGAAAGTTTACTTACGGGGAGGGAGGGGGGTGGGGGGTTATTTTCGATAGTGTAGGGGGAAAATGAAAATTCGGATATCAAAAAGCTTTTCCTTTAAGATACTTTTAACCCAAATTTTTTTTATTTTTCCCTAAAAATCGTTTTTATTCCCCCAGATCACCAAAGTAAACCCGTATAAAAATTATGCTCCGGGATACTACCCAAATAGATTGGCAAGAACAATAGGTGGCAACAGAGAAATGGACATGACAACAGAGAAATGGACATGACAACAGATATGTCAAATATAACATTGAAGACAACATTTTCTTCCATTAGTTGACATGCTTTCCAAGATTAAATAAAAAATTGTAAAAACAGAAAATAAAGAAAACAAATTGCACTGTAAGAAAAGCACTTTATTATCCCTATTTTTAATAATTTTGTCGGACACATAAAACTGTTGACACTTCGTGACGTAAGAATACAGCTGTACTGAGAGTGTACAAATTCTACGTTGCCATCTATTGTACTTGATAATCTTTTTGAGCAATGAGCATACCTAACTTTTAAATCTAGATTTTAATTATCTTCTCATGTGAAAAAATTCAAAAGTTTCCAGGACTCCCTTTAAGGTGTAAAATACTTGAGCTTTAATTTCAGTGAAACCTCTTAGAGATATAAGGTATAAAGTGATAATTAGAAAACTGGATTAGAAAGACGACATTGAAGCAATATTTGAAGTGTTTTTGATGTTGATACATTTAATATAGTTTTACTAGATGCTTAAATGTTAATAATGGATTGTAATGGTCTGTGCGCGCTGCATAATTGCCATGTTTTCTGTTCATTCGACTATATAAAATCATAACTTGAGTCTAAAAGTCGTCTTTCACAGTTTCTGGTTTTCATTGTAACAAAACAAAACAAAGCATTATTAATAAAGACAAAAGATAAAGTTTTAATGGAAAGAACGGGAAAATTATAACTATTGAGAAAGTTTCTATTTTCAACAGTCCCGGGATAGGACAACAGACAGGACGTCTTATAAATTGTCCTATAAGTTGTCCAGTGGAGGACTTGACCTGTAACCCGAATGTAGATATCGCTGCTGGGTCTAGATCAGGGACATCTTTAACTTCTCGACCTCTGCATATTCAATCAATCAATCAATCAATCAATCAACCAACCATTTAACAAGTAAACACAGTATTTGTTCTCATCAAAAAAGCTAGTAATATACAGATAATTTTTGTTCTAATTTTCTTTAAAAATAAAAATGATAAGTGTGTAATTTTTATGATAGACATATCTGATTTATTTTCAATGGAACCCATAAAACTATGGAATAAGAGGACGACTTTTAAACTAAATTTATGATTTCAAATAGTTCTATATGTGTTCATAGAATTGATGTTAAGTAAAACTATTTTATGACAACATCAAATAAACATGAATGCTGGAATGTCGTCTTATAATTCCACAGTTTAATAGGTTCTGCTGTATAGTAATTGATGAATTACCTAAAATATGGTTTAATATCCCGGAAAGGGATCCTGAAGTAAAACAATAAATATAAAAGTGACATGGTCTAAATTCACTCAACATTCAAAGTTGAAAACCGTTGAAAAATGGGCACAGTGTAGTGATCTAAAGGTCGATGAACTATTCAGGAAATTATTGTAATCTCTACTTTTTCAACAGTTAAGATTTGAGTTTATAAAGTTAAACATTTTGTTATTTTGCAGTTTTTTTGTTTGTTAAATATCTTGCCCCTCGGATCCGGATCCGTTGGTCCGCATATTTTTGCGGCTCCGGATCCAGGAAGCCGGATCCAACTGATCCGGATCCTAAGCACTGGTTCAAACTGTAACAATGTACATGCCCAGGGCTACAAAAAAAGTTCAAGTTCCTTAGTGGATTTTAAAAAGGTCAAAGCCCCGATCTTCAAATTTGATCCATAATTTTCAAAGTTGTGTTGATTTTTGTGCATGAATTCATTTATTCATCCTTTCTTGATCAAGCCAAGCTTTGAAGGGTTGCTTGAGAATCTAATGTCACGTGGTTGTCAGCTGTCCGGTGTATCTGCCTGTAAAGATTCCAGTGCACAAATATCTAGGTATGTACAATTTGTACAATGTACTGTAAGGAACACTATATTTAATTTCTATTGCAAAGGTTTACATCTGCAAATAGAGACTAATAGTTGAAAAACTGTTGGAATGTCTAAAGAGTGTCACAGAATATTATGTTTATTATTTTCCTAATATTTTGAAGTTCCAAAGACTGAGAATCCAGCTTGAAAAATCCCTCATAGTTGACTAAACAGAAAAATAATAACATCAATTAATAATGAAAACATCACTGACAATAACAAAAAACAATAACAATAATGACAACAACAACAATAATCATAACATTATCCATAAAAATAACATAGAAATAACAATATTAATAATAATAACACTAACAATAATGATAACAATTGTAAAATCTAAACTATTAATTTAGTACAAACTACAGCCTGAAAGAAGGCTGAACCAGTGTGATCCACCCAAGAACTATATATGCTGAAGTATTAAATAACCAAGAAAATTTCCTTTATCCTGTCAAATCTACGAGTTAAAATAATATAAAAATGTAATCTGTAATTTAAAAACTGAGAATTTATGCAAACCAGATTTTATTAAGCATCAAAAGGAATTTAATATTGGCACATTTTAAATGTTAAATCTGTAAGCATGTAAATGATATTTAATCCAAAGCTTTCACTCAAAATATATAGATCGTCATGTTGCAGATGATCATGGGAGATACAGATCATTAAGACTCCCTAATTCTATCTCAAGAAGTGATCCATTGTTCAAATAATATCTTTAGATGCGGAACAGGACTGATACGAGATATCTTTACCAGAGCTTCCTATCTATTCCGGATCCAACTGCTCCGGATCCTAAGCACTGGTTCAAATTGTAACAATGTACATGCCCAGGGCTACAAAAAAGTTTAAGTTCCTTAGTGGGTTTTAAAAAGGCCAAAGCCCTGGTCTTCAAATTTGAACCATAATTTTCAAAGTTGTGTTGATTTTTGTGCATGAATTCATTTATTCATCCATTCTTGATCAAGCCAAGCTTTGAAGGGTACCTCTGTGAACTAAGTTTTGCTAATGTCTAAAGACTGAGTGTCACAGAATATTATGTTTATTATTTTCCTAATATTTTGAAGTTCCAAAGACTGAGAATCCAGCTTGAAAAACCCCTCATAGTTAACTAAACAGAAAAATAATAATATCAATTAATAATGAGAACATCACTGACAAATGACAATAACAACAAACAATAACAATAATGACAACAACAACAATAATCATAACAATAAAAATAACATAGAAATAACAACTTCCTTCCATGACATGTTTAATTCTTTAGCTGAACCAAATAGAACAAAATCATATAAACTTGAGCGGGTTCCTTTTTAAAACGCTAGAATATTTTCCTTCTGCTTTATTTCCAAAATTATGAAATTCGCTTGAATGAGAGCTTGAAGAAACTAAATCTGCAAAACTGTTTAAAAGAATAATCTTCAAAAACTATTTAGATAGTTATGCAAGCTATATGTGTAAATAAAATAACTGTTTTTCATGTGGATAAACTTAGTCTTTGTTATCTTCTTCACCCTGTAGTTCATTAACATGATTCTAATATTATATGTTACCCTCTGTTACAACCATCCCGCTGAGTACCCACCCTTTCCTTTAAACTTTTTCACCCCCTCCTTACCTTATTCATGATTTATCATCATTGTTTTGTTTAAAATGTACACTGTACAGTGTACATCCATCAATTTATTTACAATTCTTATTCGCTTATAACGGGCCGACCAATCAAAACAACCAACTCTAGCTAGGCGGGTCAAAACTACATAGTAAATTGTGATTTATTATTTGTATTATCTCTTGCTTTGTAGTTGAATAAAAATATGAATGAAAATATGAATGAATATTAATAATGATAACACTAACATTAATGATAACACTAACAATAAAGATAACACGATCAATAAAAATACCATAGAAATAACAATATTAATAATGATAACTCTAACAATAATGATACGAATTGTAAAATCTGAACTGTTAATTTAGGATAAACTACAGCCTGAACGAAGAAGAACCAGTTAGATCCACTCAAGAACTATATATGGGAGTATTAAATAACCAAGAATATTTCTGTCAAATCTACGAGTTAAAATAATATAAAAATGTAATCTGTAATTTAAAAACCTGAGAATTTATGCAACACAAAATTGTATTAAGCTTCAAAAGGAATTTAATATTGGCACAATTGAAACGTTAAATCTGTAGACATGTATATGATATTTAATTCCAAGCTTTCATTCAAAATATAACGATCGTCGTGTTGCAGATGATCATGGGAGATCAAGATCATTAAGACTCCCTTATCCTATCTCAAGAAGTGATCTGTTGTACAAATAACATTCTCGGTACAAAATAGTTATCAAAACTTTGTTAGGAGATCATATAAAGCATTAGATTCATGAACTGTATTGCAGTTGTTTGATCCAGTTGATCATCAAGAGTGATCAGTATAACCCGAAGATCTTGAGGCTACAAAAGAGGCTAGGGTTGTCTCACAAACACAAGCAGGTCAATAAACAGAACTTATTAAAATGCATTTATTTGAAAATGATAATTGATGTTGAAACTGATTGATCTTAAGATGCGGAACAGGACCGATACGAGATATCTTTACCAGAGCTTCCTATCTACATCTTGATTCTACATCTTATATTCACCCTACACACTACCAGTCAGCTTTAACAAGGATCTCACGGTGATCTACAGCACATTGCTAGTCTGGAAAACCTCCCAGGCAGAAAGAATCCGAGGACGACTGTACGTATCGTTAATGTACTAAGTATTACTGTTGTTGATCTAGATCAATTCCAGAAGGTGAATACTTCCGACATTTTAATAATTATTCTTTAAAAGAATAAGATCGTTCCTGACCTGACTTTAAACTAATTCAGGAATATCCTGATCTATTCATCCTAAAGAATCAAGGAAGAATTGCAGTCCGCAGTTTTCACCGGACACACTTAAAAGGTTATCATCTAATAAACCTAATCTACATTAACTCTATGATGCTTATAGTTATTTACATTCGTAGAAGAAATTATACTAGAACTTGAAACCTGATAAAACCCTAACAGAAGACATTTGGATCACCATGCGAAAAAAACCAAACCGCTATGAAATGTAAGATTTATATTAGAAAGCTTGGGACACCGTTGTCTTTTGTAAAATATTGTGTTGTGCCTCGTGTAACAGATGTTTTAAGCTTTGATAAAGTTCTCATATAATGTTTCAAATCCTTTTATCTGGCGTAAGATTTGACCAGAGATCACATTTAGAAATATTGGATTTTAATGTATTCTGTCAAATAACTTTATCTGGTCACAACATTTCACCATTTATCACATTTTTTTAAATATATCATGCTAATTATGTTTATATTTCAGCTTCACAGCTTGTTGATGACCAAGAACTTGATTTCTGTGTATGGGGTGGCGTATAAACAATACATTGGTTAAATAGTGATGCACTTCAATAGTTTCGACGCTGAAAATTAAATTGAGAGACACTAAAAGCAGAAAAGTGAAAAATAATAGCAATAAAAATAACATAACAATTATAATAACAAAAACAATGAAAACAATTTTGACAACGACAAAAATGATCAAAATAATCACTGGCATAATAATTTTACGTTTCACTTTTAAAATTGTGTACATAAAAATATGGCAAATATGAACATTTTACAAAATACCTAATGGGTCAACGGCCTCCATTTTATGTGTGAGAACTATCTTCCAGTTTTCCAACCCCCGACCCCGGGCTAAAACCTCGAAACCAGTAAAACCTAGAAAAAGGAAATGTCCATTTTTTATTGGGAAAAAATATTATCAAATTTTTCTCACACCAATGAACTCGAATTTCTAATCCATATATTTATTGTGTTAACCTTAGATTGTTCAAACTTTGACTTTTGGATCTAGCATTATTCACAGCTTGAAATGCAAATGATTAGAAAATTAATGTATAATGTTTTCACTTTTCAGTTTATTTTTGAGAAAGAATAAGAAATCAAATCTTGCACACCAAGAATATCAGTAAAATGCTTTTCATTCCATTTATTTTTAATTATTTTTAAATTTAATTTTTTTTCCTCTCGCTCATTTTTTAAAACTTTTCTTTAAACATAAAGTTGTAATCGATTATAGTTTTATTTGGGATATTCGGGAAAGCCACGGGAATATTCTTAGCTACGTTCTGAGATTCTTTTATTGCGAAAATTAAGTTTGACAGTAAAAATCGTCCAAGTGCGGGTAAACTGCGGGAGTAAATATTCATTCAAATTTTTTCTTTTTACAATTAGAAAAAGTGTTAATTAGCCTTTACGGTATTCAGATTTTCAAAAGAAATATGAAAATTTTGTGAAACAATTTAAATTTTATTCTTGAAATTGACACGTAAGGGGGGGATGGGGAATATGCAGGGGACGGAGACGTGATGTATGTGTGTGTGTCTGTACCAAAAGAGTGCGTGTAAGTAATACCGAACCGAAGCGAAGGTGTGTACTGTAGTATATACAGTATATAAGAATCTCGGTATATGTACAGTCTAGGAGAGTACATTTGTTTATTGTTAATTGTTTACTTAAAAAATAAGTTTAATATACATGTAATAAATTATTTATAAATTTAAGTCAACATTATAAGCCAAATGTGCATTCAAAGAATATAATTTGATTAAAGTTTACAATAAACTACTCGTTATTCGAGCTCAATTAATAATTATAATTGACGACATTGTTCTGCAATTTCCATGACTGTAGTCATGTTGTGTGTTTTTACCAAAAAAGCGTGCGTGTGTAATAACGAACTCGTCTGCAAAGCAGTGCGTCTGGCTTTCTCATGCCAGACCAGCGCCATTTCCCTTCACTTTATTCTTATTCCCTGGGAATATGCGTTACCTGTTAAATCTTCTCCTTCAATATTTGTCTTTACCCCTGGAAAAATAAAATTGTTATTTAATCCATTCAAAAGATTAATTATTTTTAAACTTGTCAATCTGCCTGAACGATAAATAAACAATACTTTTTTTTTATAAAAAATGTGTTAAAAGGTCATCAAAGTGGTTCTAATATACAATTATCCAATCCCTTTACTTTGAAACCTGATTTTGACAATTCTATTTAGTAAAACAAATGGTTTGAATATATATTGAGATTTAAGAGGCTAAAAAATAAGAGTTCGAGCCAAGTTTCAGTTCGTTATCAGAATAAAACACCTTCCTAACTATGAATGAATGTATCCGGGCTTCTTTATGGAAGTTCACCAGAAGATACAAGTCAACAAGTAAAGTCCAAATTAAAAACTACAAACCTGCAAACCCTGCTCCGTTGGGCTGAGGATTTAGTAATACAAATACTACGCCACGTTGGTACACCTAAACATTTTAAATGAGCAAGTGAGCCAGTGAGCAAGTGAGCAAGTGAGCAAGTGAGCAAGTGAGCAAGTGAGTAAAAATCATTTGACTCATTCCGACTCATTCCGACTCATTCCAGTTAATTCCGACACATTCCGACTCATTCCGACTCATTCCGACTCAATGACGTGAATGACGTGAATGACGTGATTAAAGTGAATGAAGTGCATGAAATGAATGAAACGAATGAAACGAAATGAAACGAAATGAAACGAAATGAAACGAAATGCAACGAAATGAAATGAAGTGAAACGAAGTGAAACGAAGTGAATGAAGTGAATGAAATGAATGAAATGAATGAAATGAATGAAATGAATGAAGTGAATGAAGTGAATGAAGTGAATGAAGTGAATGAAGTGAATGAAGTGAATGAAGTGAATTAAGTGAATTAAGTGAATGAAGTGAATGCAGTGAATGTAGTGAATGAAGTGAATCAAGTGAATCAAGTGAATCAAGTTAACAGATAGATGAATGCAATGAATGACTAAACCTATGTATACCTGAGTTGTTTGAAGCTGAAAAACTGCTTTAGACATCCCTTGTTTTCTAACTGTATCACTAGATTCCCACCAATTATCTAGGAAAATACTTAATAGAAAGTACAAGAAACTTGTAAGCGTTTCACCTCAAAAAGATAAGTATTGTAGATATTAGATAATAACAGAACTGACCTTCCCTTTTCAGTGTTGCATGTCCGCGTATTTGAAACTTTATATAAGTAACAATTAGAATCTTATTGTCGTTTTTTATCTTAAAACTCTAGAATATTTTCCTTCCGCTTTATTTCCAAAATTATGGAATTCGATTGAATTAGAGCTTAAAGAAACTAAATCTGCAAAACTGTAAAAAAAAATCTTAAAAACTATTTAGATAGTTATGCAATTTATATCTTTAAAAACTATTTCTTACGTGGATAAACTTAGTCTTTTCTATCTTCTTCACCCTGTAATTCATAAACAGGATTCTAATAATATATGTTACCCCCTCCTTACCTTATTCATTATTTACCATCATTGTTTTGTTTAAAATGTACACTGTACAGTGTACATCAATCTATTTATTTACAATACTCATTCGCTTACAGGGTGGCCAAAACTTTTTTGAAAAAATCCGTACATTTTTTTTCAAAATCCGTACAATCCGTACAATTTTCGAAAAAAATCCGTACAATCCGTACATTTTTTTTCAAAATCCGTACATTTTTTTAAAAATCCGTACAATCAGTACAATTTTCGAAAAAAATCCCTGCAATCTGTACATTTAAGAAAAATAAAACCATTTTTGAAAATATTATTCAACACTGTCTCACCCCC